ACTGATTTCAGAGGAGAAGGAAGGAGGAAGGGAGAGAAGAGAGAAAGAGAGAGAGAGAAACATCAGTGATGAGAGAGAATCATCTATTGGCTGCCTCCTGCACACCCCACACTGGGGATTGAACCCACAACCTGGGCATGTGTTCTGACCAGGAATCAAACCAAAACCTCCTGGTTCATAGGTCAACACTCAACCACTGAGCCACACCTGCTAGGCTATTTTCCTCTTTTTTTCTTGAGATCTTTAAGCAAAACAATTTCAGCAACAGATTTGCTGCAGGCATATATGAGAACCCACGTCTCTTAGGATATAAAGAGATTTGCAGCAAAATGAAACAATGCCAGGTCTCTTATTCTACTTTGTGTTTTTTATAAAACAAGTTATTTATTTCAACCTGTGATGGGATTATTTTTAATGGACTAATAAATATTTTAAGGATTTTTAGTTTTAATTTCTAATAAAATGGAATAGACGACAACATGAAGCAGTGGCACCGAATTGCATTCCTTCCATGAAACCCATGGCACACAGCGGAAGCCAGGCTCATCCTGTTTTCACTTTTTCAGACCTTCCTCTCGTCACCACGGAAAGCAGGGGACAGCGCCTCTGTGGTCACTAGTTAACCTCACTCCGTGTTTTTACCATTTAGTTCCACAGGTTCCAACCATCACAAAACAGTCAAAAGAGCAAGTCGCCTTTCCCTTTGATGAATATTTTCAAATCGAATGTGAAGCTAAAGGCAATCCGGAGCCAAGGTGAGTGGCCTCCCACCTGAGGCCTTTAGGTGTGAAATCCCCTTTCCTGCCGCTTCCTGGTCCAAGGCAGCCATCCCCTCTCTGTAGCCTCACACGTGGGGGGTGGGGGGTGGGGGAGGGAAGAATGCTCTCTTTCATAGGGACACTGACCCCGCTCTCGAGAACCCCACCTCGTGACCTCATCCTCTCCCAGGGCCCCGCCTCTGACCCCATCACGCTGGGGACTGAGCTTCAGTTCAGGGATTTGGAGAGATGTACGCATCAGCCTACAGCCGCTTGTCAGATGTCTTTTCTGATAGTCCATTCAACATACTTTCTACCAGAAATTAAACGTCCTGGTTTTGTCACTTCTGTGCATTGGTGTATAAACACTAGGACCCGGTTCATTTTCCACGTCCTTAAGCTGAGTTTTCGTTACAGATTTACGTGGACGAAAGATGGCAAGCCCTTTGACCTCTCCGACCCTCGGGTCATTGCCTCCAACAACTCAGGAACCTTCCGGATCCCAAATGAGGGGCAGATAGCTCACTTCCAGGGGAAATATCGCTGCTTCGCTTCGAACAAGCTGGGAGTGGCCATGTCGGAAGAAATAGAATTTATAGTTCCCAGTGAGTATTACGGTGGAGATTTCAACTTACAGACGTTTTTGTCAAGTGTGCGGTAGGCGTTGTTCTGGGCTCTAATGAAACAACACATTATTTAATCAGCGCATGTGCGCCTTATATCTTTTTTATAAGGGAAATTCTCTTCCAGGTCTTGACACGTAGAAGTGGATGGATGACCTTGAAAGCAATGGGAGGTTGCTGCACTTCAGCCAGTAACCTTGTGTCTAATTTGGGGAAACGTAGTATCTATTGCCTCGTAATGAGAACTAAGTTGCACATGATATTAGTTAGGGTCAGCGAGTTATGCTGCAGTAACAAGTCA